CAGCGGGCTCGGCTGACTCCCCTGAAGCGCTGGAGGGGCGGGCCTGGCGGGAGAACCAGCCATGTGCTTTGAGCCGATCAATGACATTCAGTCAGTGAGACCGCAGGTGTTTAGACAATGAATTTCCCAAGTCCTCTGTATGAAGCCATTTGTCCGTGCTGGCCAATAAGCACCGGCCTAGTGGGATAGAACACTTTCTGATTGGATGAATTTTCCCGTGTTCTAGCCAATCAGAAACCAGCATGGCCTAAAGTCATTTCCCCGCACTTCATTACACAGAGGGCAGCACGTCAGCTGAGCGGCGCTCCCGATGCTGTTTGTACTTTTATGAATGAAGCGGGTTGCTGCTCGTTTTGCTGCGCCGGGCTCCGTCTGGCTGGCTGCAATCTGCCTCCTTTAACGGACCGGGCTGTCCGAGTGTAATGACTTCTGGTCACTTCTGGTCTGGGCGGGATACAGCTCCATGCCTAGAGGAGATGGGCTTTGTCTCCCATCCCAGGTCTGACCATGGCGCACAGGCCTGGGTCCTCGGTGGGGGAGCCTCCACGTCTGATGCCTGAACCAGCAGGCCGGGTGCTGCTGCAGTAACTGTTCAGGGCCGAGCCCCTGCTGGGGAGCAGGGGTCTGTGCTGCATTAATTGGGCCGCGCACCCAGAGCCCTTCTGGGCACAGTGGCTTAGCGTTGGACACAGGGCACCACATGCAATGTCCAGTCCGGCTTTCCCCCATCCCCTGCGGCTTATGGCCCTGAATACGTTCCAAGGAGCTGCTCTCCCGTCCAGGTGCCGGTGAATGGGCTAGCAGAGGGCAAGGAGGGGGCTGCTCTGTGCTCCTCACCAGCCAGCTGAGCCGTCTCTCTCCCCCTGCCAGGGTCCTGGACGGAGATGAACGAGGCCTGCTCAAGTCCCCAGTGCCCTTCCTCCTGGGACACAGCCTCTCCAGGGACGGGATGGACTCGTTCAGCAAGCATTTCGAGAGCATCATGGAGTCCCACCGAGCCAAGGGGACCTCCTACACCAGCCTCGATTCTATCGATGTCCTCTCCTCCCCCGCCCGGACGCCCGGCACCTATTTCACCTTTGACCTCCCAGCCCTCACCCCCGAGATACAGGACCAGATCCGAGACAGCGCCAAGCTGATTGAGCAGAATTTTGCCCCCCTGGCCCACCTGGAGCCTGACTCTGGCACCATGGACCGAGAGGGAAGAGGAGCCGGGGAGAAGGGGGAAGAGTGGCTTTCACAGCCCCTGCCGCTCCGAGGACAGCTTCGGCCTGGCCCTGGCCTCCATCGCAAGGTGAGGGACCCAGGCAGGGGGCGCGCGGCCCCTCTGGGTGAGTCAATCAACCTGAGCCTGGGGCAGAGCCTCGGGGGAGGGAGGGAACGCCTGGGCGTTCACAGGGTAAGACGGGCTGTCTCCTGCCACTTCCCCTGCTGGGCGTGGCTGCTGGCTGTGGGCTCGGT